ATGTTCAAATGCACGTGGGATGACACCTCTTTGGGATGCAGGCTCAGACACTCCCTGCATTGTGAAGGACTTACCGCTGCCAGTTTGTCCATAGGCAAATATTGTACCGTTGTATCCTTCAGTGACACCCTACAAAAGAAAAGGTAAAAAAAGAAAGGGTGAATAAACTGTACCCAAAAGTGAACAGATATTAATATATGGTGCTGTGAAATAAACCGTTTTCTTCATGACCAATGATTTCTATTTCATCACTAGTAAATGAATAAATAATATTGGGCTGCAGATTTTCACTCCTTCATATCTGAACCTACTAGTGTCCTAATCTTTTTAAAGGGTCCCTGCTGTTGAACACAACACCATGTTTATGACACATTTAGTAGAAAAAAAATCTCTTGTACAATAATTTTAAATCATATGCCCATGGACACATCAGCATGTAGCTGAATTTAAATTCCTGGCCTTCTGGTCAGATAACAAAGCCTTTTTCACAATGTTGGAATCATGAAATAAATTCAGACTAATTCAAAATAATGTAGTTTGGGTGCATCTATTACAACTGTACAAATCTTACAGTAGTAAATAAAAACAGTGGTAAATGACCATACAGTAAATAACGAAGAGTGTAATCAGCTGCAGTTAGATGAAGGCCACTGACAATGACGTGAAGGTGTCCAGTGACCAGTGAGCCGCGTTCCTAATGACCAGATCTGCAGGCTGGTGCCATCATGCGGAACAATAAAATGTTCATACCTCAACCAAGGCATATGCAATCTCATTGTACATCTCCTCTGTGGTGTGGTCAGTGAAGTAGGTCCCATCAAAGGTGAACTGTTTGGGAGGCTCGTCCACGGCACTAGGTTTTTCTATGAAGCACTGGCAGCGCTGCACATCCATGGACAGCACAACCCTGGAGCCCAGGTCCTTCTCTCGCTCATTCAGGGGCCGGCATCGGACCACTACCTTCACAGACTCTGACCCCATTTTCTACCATTCACCCCACAGACGACGGTTTGGGAGCAGGCAACAGGTAGAGTGAAAATAATGCAAATGTCCGGTTATGTTTAATGGGAGCACATAGAGGAGTGCGTGGAAAAGCTCTGGCTCCTGACTGCTAACAGCTGATGACATGGAAGAAAAACAGTGGAATATATCCACTCTCAAATCCACAGGACTGTCCTCCTTAGATTCTGTTACTGTCCCCTGCCATTGAGCTCCTCTTCCCATGTTGTTTTGAAGTTGCCTGGCAACCACTAACAACTAGTAAGGGATGCAACAGGTTGAAATCTGCAGCCATGTTGGTGAGGTCAAATGTTGCACCTGTATTTACTGTTCAAGCTTCCTTTTCCTTTTAAAGTGGATAATGGATTAGATCTAGTGGGAACCATGACTCTAGCCCACTTTTCTGAGTGTTTTTAATTACTCATGTTTCAATATGTCCACGTAATTTCTGTTTTCTCTAAGGAAGCGTATGCAAATGCACTTTACGGAAAGCGAGAGATGATTGGTCACATCGGTGACGTAATGTTGGCGCTCCGTCGAGACATACACATTTTAAAATTAAAAATAGCCTTCGCCGTTGAGGAGCTAAGACGTACGAGTCGAGTGGTTTAATCTGAGCAAAAATATTGAATGATTACAATTATTATTAAATTATTGTAAGGCACCGTTGTTAACGTTAACAAAGTTGCTGGGAGAAATGGTCAAAACAAATATGCATCACTAACACACTTATATTTAAAATATAAACATGTTTACCACTGTTTAGTTACACAAAAATTACAGGGTTTTATATATTTGAAAGAAAAAAGTAAAAGTAAAGAAGAATTGTTGTTATTTAAAAACAATAAAAATGTGATTAAATATATTTGTATATTATCTTCAAACTGCAGGAGAAAAATGGCATCTGGTCTAAAAAGTCGACACTAAAAAAACAAACAAAAAACAACGCAGTAATTTTAACATCATTAAAACAGTGATAACCTCTTTTGCCTCTTTTATGGCATATATAAAAATATTTTAAAAAAATACAGAGTGAAAGACAAAAGCAGTGAGCACAAAATATTACACTCTGGACAGATAAGTGCTCTCACACGGAGACGACAAGGGCACATTAAAATAGACAGCTCAGGTCTTTGAGTGACTTGACAGTTTAGAGTTTATCTGATTGGAAACCGCAGTAATTCTTTGCTTCCAGTGTGTTGTGCTTTAAACATTGGGATAAAGCATCCAATCATAACATATTTCTTCAGGTGTAGATTTATTTTGTCCACAAGCTGCTAAAACATGTTTATACCTTGCATCCCTGCTGGTGCAGGGTGAAACTGCAAGACTCAGAGCTTGGACTTTAAGTGCCTTATTTAACTACATTTTTAAATTATTTGTGTTAAAATCAAAAGTGCACCAACAAGACCAATGTCAGACCTTTCCTGAGATGAGGTCGGCTCAAATTACAGACTGTCAACAGTAACACAAACTATCATTGTGTCACTGTTGACATGAGACATGATGATGACCTCACGAGTGAAAAGGTGTGCATCACAGGTGGTGTAGACGTTCGTCCTAAAGTAGAGGTTTAAGCTTTAAGTCCTAAATGCTGTCTGAACAAAGGTCTCTGACTCTGGTACTGGTCTTGTTAGCATGGTCTTGATGTAACAGTAACATTATGGGCCAACACTGTCGTTATGTGGATTAGAGTTTGTGAAGCATCCCCATGAAACCAAACCATGTGAAGGAAGACAAAAAAGTAGAGTATGTGCAAAAGAAAAGTAGAAGTGCTGCTTATTTCACATCCTCACAGGTTGGCAGTCCAACTAGTTCCAGTGTCCAGGGTTCAGAACCATCTCTTTCTGGAGGTGCTTTTAGTTTTGGTCTTGCTGGGAGTCTTGTGCAGCTTCACAGACGGTTGTTTGCTGGGATTCTCTTCCCACTCGTAACAGTGGTTGACTCGAGCGGAGCTCAGGAGACAGGGAAGCTCATCCAGGATCTCTGTGTAGTATTCAATCAGCTCTGCCACTGAGTTGAATTCTGTCCTGCATTTCTTTAACATAAAAAGCAAGAAAAGTTTAGTATAAAAATAAAGACTATGGCTTTTGGACAGTACAGAGTGTATTTTTTCTTTTAAATTAATAAAACCAAAGTAAATTACATTAATTTTATTTTTATTTTTTATCATTGCGAAGCATCTCCTGCAGCAAATTTGGGTCCATTTGAAATCAGAAGTCAATTGTGAATTTAAAGATTTAAGGATAACATTCAATTATGTGTTTCAAAACATGGGATCCAAAATGTTAAGTTAACTTTCCAATTTTTTTTACTAATAAAAAACCCCAAAAAACTTTACCTCCAGCATGAATTTCCCTGAACGAGTGTTTTCTATGAGGTGTGTCACCAGACCAGAGTTGAAGCGAATGATGAGGGAACCACACTTGGGTTTCTTAGGATGTGGACACAGAAGGTATGAACCCAGAACATCATCAGCCAGCAGAGAGTAGCTGCTATCACTACCAAAAAGAGAAATACGTCATTAAAGAAGAACAGTAGGTGACAGAGAACAGCCACAACTGTCCAACCACGTGGACAGTTGTCTTAAATCCATTAGGACCAACTCACACTGCGATACCAGCCCAGGACCACACCGCTTGAGCCAGTGCTTCTTCTGTTTCGGCCAGGCTGGGAGCACGATGTCTCCGCCCTGTTGGCTTGTTTTCTGCCTTTTCTGTTCCACAACATTTACAGACAACACAGAACAAACCTGTCTTAAAGGTTTTTTAAACAGGGACATATTCTGCTAATGATGTTCAAATGTGTTGGTTCCTGGATGAGAAATCAAATGTCAGTGACATGCTGGGGTTGAAAAAACACTGAGGGATAGATCGCAGGTGGATTCTTCACACCTGTTCTGAACAGCCTATCTCTATGCCTTTGCCTTTAAATGGTAACGAGACAATGCATGCTCCGCCCACCTTTTCTTCACAGGAAAGCCTAAGGGTTTGCTACTGGTAATCATGGCGATGTGGTGTTTTTCTTTTGTGAGCATGCTCAGTTATGTGGTGTATGCCATTCTGGTGGGTATGGTTAACTGATAGGACAACGAACAACTAACAACTAACTAACTGTATATGTTTGATCCAGAGTCAGAAGAAGCTCCAGAAGAAAGTGTAGAGCTAAGACTGAACCTGGATCACTGGTCAGTGGTTAATGGTTAACTTTGTTTCTTCAACATCACAAGGTTTTACTGCCTCATTGATTTCCTGTCCCTGTCTTCCCCTGGTGTTGTTAAAGATGACAACATACGTTTAGTGACTCAAGTGTTTACACCAGAGCTTAATGATAAAGCAAGTGAAATCTAAACATCTCATTTAGACACATTTCCTTGTCAGATTATACAACATTTTCAGTTGTTGAAACTTCAAGGAGTGGACAGACACTGAACACAACCCTGACAAAGTCCGTTTTAAACCAGTGGTGCAAATATTCATTTAGAACAAATAAAGTGACATTAAAAACCTATGTGAACTTCAGAAGAAATCAAAAACCCAACCTGTGAGAAATCCCAGCTAAGAGAACCTAAACCTGTACCTTCCGACACCAGGACACACAGTGAGACCCCGTCACCTGACACGGAGAGCATTGCTTTACCTAATCAACTCCCTGACTCTCGACAGCACTCTGTGAACGGCTGGCCCACCTGATGCACTGAGTCGCTCCTGAACAATGCGTTGTTTGATCGGAGTGAAAGTAAAGGAGCGGTACGCCCCCGAGGTCAGCGCTTTGGTGCGGATGGCTTTCTTGCGGACCAGGGAGGGGGAGGAGGTGGGAAACACGTCGTCCAGGAAGCTCCGTTGATTGTCGGAGGACTTGTGGTTTTTCTAACGACCAAAGAAGAAGGTATGGACATGTACATGAAAGTCAATTCTGTACAGGACAGAAAAAAAAATCATCATGATGAATCCCAGCTGACCTTAAGGTGAAGGACAGGCTGAGTCAGGTCATCACACAGAAAAACAAATGGAAACATCTGACCTTTGACTTTTACATTGACACGTATGGTGAAGTCAGAGCTCCCAGTTCAACATTTTATTTATACCTCCACCACAGAGAGACAATGTTATGCTACAATGGCAGAAGACAGTTCAAACCTTGATGCCTGGCAAGAGTCCCTGAAACGGCGCCCTCCTGAAGGACACCAGCGCACTGACACTGAGAGGGAAGCCGTGGTTGAGGAGCGAGGGGTTACGACGAGGAGCAGAACCTGCAGACTCATCCTGCACCTCCTCTGGATGCTTCTCCAAGTAGGACAGCTGGAAGCAGCGGCACAGCAGCAGGTTCAAGAACTGGGCCTGAAGGACAGACAGTGGGTTTTATATTGTTATTGTATATTGTTTATATGTCATGTTCAATTAAAAATAAAATATAAATATCATACTGTTTGTCGATACTCACTGCTCGGGCGTGTCTGGCCTTAAAGACGTGGCAGTAGAGTTGGACATCAAAGTTGCCAGGGTTGTGAGAGACAAAGGCAAACTGGGCATCAACGGGCCGGGCAGTGGACAGAGAGACCCTACGCAGGGCGTGAGCCATCAGCAGAGTCTGAAAATGTGACACCAAAAAAAAAAAAAACAAAAATACAATGTAGAGATTTGATAATCTTTAATAATAATAAAAAAGGAATGTTAAATTATTTTATCTCTACATTTGTGATTTTCAGAATAATTAGGAATAAAATAATACAATGTAGAAAATACAATCATAGCACTTGTGCTTCATGATATATTTCTTCTGAAAATAATGTATATTTGTTTTAAACTGAATAAAAATTACAACAATAGAACAATAGAAAATAAAGGCCACCTGGACATTTATTATTGGTACGTAAGAAAAAAAAACTAAGACTGTTAAATGATTACAATGTTTAATGTGATTAATTACAGGGTAGCTGTGGATTAATTACCTGATGGGGGGTAAAAATCAATATTCCCAAAATGACCACAAGAGACTTTTGTGTATATTAGTGGACTAGACTGAGAAATAAAAGTTTCATGTGTTGTTTTTTTTCATCAGTGGGAATTCAGCATCTCACCGTTTCATCCTCATTGTACATTTTCACTCCTTTAATGGAGAACTTCAGGGACACAGGACGTCTTCTTTTGCACGTCTGAGGAAAGATGAGCATCGAATGTGTCACTGTATTTCAGTCAGCAGGTCATAGTTGTTGTCATAGTAACAGAAAAGTCCTGTTCTGTTCTGTTCTGTCCTACCACCAGGAGTTTCAGCTCAGTGTGGAGCTGCTCTATCTGGTCATCCAGACACTGGTCGTCCACGGGAAAAGATCCTACGTACTGTACACACAGTACACAGACATGAGACTTATTCATGAAACACAACACACACAATGAAACATGGCAGGCACAGACACGCCAAAGTAGAGTTACTGTACCTCTGCTGACCGTGTCACCGTACCGTCGTCACTCACCGGTGCTTCGCCCATTCTGTCTGTTTCTAATGAAACTGACAAACGAAGAAACAGAAGGACAAATATTTTAAAATCAGTTGTAATAATTTGGACAACATTTAATTCTATACAATGTATGAAATGATAAATTAGGAAATTAATCCTATGAGGGAAAGGACTCTTATATTTACATATTTACCAAAAATATTATATCAGGGTATTCCCTTAAGCTTTAAAGCAATAAGTTTAAGGCCAATTATCCATAAAAACTGTTTAAAACAAAACTTCCTGTTTGTGTTGAAATTGTGCAACAAAGAATTTTCTTGTAGTCTACGGTATCACTTTAGTGTAAAACACACCAGAGGTAACATTAGCTACGGCTGTCCTGGTACAGACAATTGATGTAGATAAACCACAGCGAACCAGATGATAAAGGACCAGAGCAAAAAATGTTGAAAACACTAACATAACAGAAGTAACTGCAGTGTGAATGTACACTAATCTGTGAGTGAGGAAGAAAAATAAATATGGATTAAAAATAAATATTAACGTTGTTCAAGTATATCTGCAACCAAACATATTTGAATTTGAAACTCTGGACAGATATCTCGCATATATAAAAAAAGTACAGTATAGTTGTATGGTATATAGTGTTTTTAGTTCATGTTTATTCATCGATCCAAAATGTCAAATTTTCTTTTGGTTGCTATGAATGACAATTAATTCACCATAAAGCCTCTAATAGACATGACTTAATTATCACATAATATCGCCGATTAAAACGTTTGCAGGAGAAAGTGTTGCTGGTGGTAGATTGGGGGCGGGGGCGGGGGAGGGATGATGTGTTTGACCTGGGACCACGAAAAGCCAAACTCTGCCACTTTATCTACCGGTGAAAACAGTACGATAGGTGTGTGGTATGAAAACTATACTCTGCGAGAGGGAAGGAAAAAAAAAATCAGGGAACAGTTGTCTTTAATTTCCACAGGAATGTTGTGTGAGTCCTGTCGTTGACTGCAGTCACTCCTGGACAACAAACCCGCTGATTGTCTGGTACGTTGTTTTACGCGCAGATCAGTCCTGACACGTTACCAAATAACCAACATAATTCAACACGCCAGTGAGTCTGAACCAATCCAAGGAGAAGTTCCAAGTCCGGGGTTGAAGTTCCACTCGAGGCTCCGAACGAAGCTGTGGAAACAGACCAACACAGTCTTACCTTTCCCAGCCGGAGTGTGTCCACCACAGGCCCGTCACCTTCTCCACTCACACCGCCGCTTCCTGAAGCTCCTGACCCGGTGTACTCTTTCACCTTACCGCTGCTGTTCCGTGGCCCAGGTGTGCTGCCACTGCCATGGGCGGAGCTGTAGGAGGAGAAGGAGGTGTGTGTCAGCGCTTATCACATCCAATGTACGAAAGTCAGTGGACTGGGAGGTGAATCACTCCCCCCCCCCCCCCCCCCCCCCCCCCGCTCCTCAGTTGCGACATTCCTCCTTGAGGTTTCGCAACTTACCCAGCTGTATTCCGAGAGTGCAATTATTGTCCCACGGTGGTTTTCAACCTAGGGGGCGGGGCGCAATTAAAGGCGAATGGAGGCATACAGCAAGGTACATTATGTCACTGTCATTTTGTATACATATATAAATATATTAAATACATATTAAAATTACAACAATTGTTTATATAAATTAATATACAAAATAATATTAAATATAAATTAATAAGGGTAGGTACTAGATTAGCGCTAGATAAAAATCTGAGAATTAAATTCAATACACTACAAAAAAAATTTTTTAAATAGAAAAAATTAGAACTGCTGCATTGAAAAATACAGCTTCTGCTAAAAATACTGTACTTGTTTAAAGTGTTCAGAGAACAGCAGTACTTAGAAAAAGTGTGCAATACAACGTTGCTCAGCGTATAAATAAGTAAATATATATACATACATACACACAAACACAGAACTGGCATTAGAGTTATTTTCCATCCCAATACAATAAATGAAGCAGTTACAAATATAGCCATTTTAATAATGACTTGGGAAAAATGCTCAACAACACAAGGATAGCATGCATGCAGGGTTTGTATACAGTATGAACTACTATCCTCCTGTTTCTTATTCACAACACACATTTCTTAAGAATTTAAACTTAGAGATTAAAGGAAATAAAAACAATTTCTGTAAATTAACTTTTTCCAGACATAATTTAAAAAAATACATTAAACCAATAGCATTTTCTTTAAAAACGAAGATTATCCTATAATTGATACTTTTCAATCCTGGCATCAGCAGGCTCCAGCTTCCTTACCATGACTAGTCATCAATCACGGTCCTAATCAATAAAATTATTTCTTAAAAAGTTCAGATTTTGATGGAGAACAGCAGGGGCCGAGAAGTGTCCATGATACGGGAGATGCTAGTGACGTATTTGTTAAAAAAAAAAAAAACAAACAAAATGATCAACAGTTGAAATTTTTCATCCCACGTGATTCACTTAGAAACACCTTTTTTTAAACTTTCTAAAACACTTAAATGTCACATTTTGTGATATTAGGAATGTGTGCTGCCAACACATAGAGTGGATGAAAAAAGTGATACATATATAAAAAACCTGAAATTATTACATGACTATAGGTTTACAGTATGTTGTTCACCAAGCTGGCAGCTGCTCACACGTCATGTTTTTTTTTTTTCTTTTACCGCGACACTAAGAGCTACACATGGTGAGTAATAGGAAATTCAGGAATTCTCCTTGTACAGTTAACTTAAGGTTAGGATGAAATAACATTCTTCTCTACAGTACAAATAAAAAACTACGGCCCCATTAAAAAAGGTCAAAAGAAGAATATAAAGAGAGAGAAAGGGATGGAGATCCATCGCTGCACTGAGCTGCAGTGGCTCAGTTTGTAGAGAGGTTCTCAGCGCCTCAGTTCTTCCCTCTCCTCGACTTACGAGTAGACTGCTTGCTGTTCTTGGCTGCTTTTTTTACGGTCTCGACAGAAGACTCTTTTGGCGGAGGCTGCCTGGATGCACCTTTGGCAGCTGGCTTTTTAGCTGCAGGTGCCTTCGGGGTCGACTCTTCAGCCTTGGATTTCTTAGACTTTGTCGTCTCCTTTGTGACCTCTTTCTCTTCAGGAGATGTCTTTGTGGAAACGGGGGGTTTGGACGCCTGTTTCAGCCTCTTAACGGCCGGGGTCTTGGGCTTTTTTCTGGAAGCCGCTACCTTTTTGGCAGTCTTGGCTTTTGACGGGGGCGTGGGCACCTTCTTTGTGGCCGCTTGTTTCTTGCCTGGTCTTTTGACTGGTGATGCTTCTTTCGTGGACACAGGGGGACGTCCTCTGCCTCCAGATTTCGGTCGACTAATGCTTCTGGACTTCTTGGCTGGTGGAGGATGGCGAGCCCTGGGTGGAGGTCTCTTTACAGACTTCCTATGTTCAACCAGAACAGGAAACAGTTAGATCATCGTCAAAGTTAGACGAAAGGTCGTCAACATTAACACTTATGGTCTACTGTGTTTTTACAAATATTTGAACATTAAACTACAACATGAGAAGATTCTCATTTATCCAGGTCATATTAACCTGTATCATGTTACAACTAAACTTGTTGTACAAAATAATCTCCACCTCTTTTGGGGACGAACTTCCTCTTCTTCTTCTTCCTCCTCCTCCACCTCCTCTTCTTCTTCTTCTTCTTCCTCCTCCTCTTCCTCATCAGATGAACTAGCTGACCGCTTGCGTCTTGATGGAGTATTTTTTGGCTGAAGATCTTTGAACTTGTCTGGATACAGAATGGTAGGGCTGAAGAGACGACGAGACAGTTTTAATGGTGAAATCAGAAAGATGAGTTGTTATAAAAACATTTCCACTCAATTTGTTGTTGATATACCTTGGATAGAAAGGGAACGAGAGCTGGTAGGTTCCTGTGAAGCCATGACCTGTGATCTGCTCCATCCATCCCAGGACTTTACACTTCTTCAGGGTCCTCCTCAGATTAGCCACTGTTGAAATGTTCACATTAGCAACGACTCTCAAACATTTTGTCCAAATCTGACTACCCTATTTTATTGTCATGAGAGTAGACGGTGCCCTCTTATGGCCATAGATGATTATAGTGTATATTTTGATATACAAGTCGCTTAGGAATATACCATGCCGGATGAAAAATAGGGTGGAAATAGTATTATAATTAACTATTATAGTAAAGCATTAATTCAGCTTTTGAATGAACTGACTGACAAACTGAACTGTCAACCACTTTTACATTAGACTGAATTAGAAATGCTACAGAGAATATAATCCACTTCTCTAAAGCACATTTTACTGATAACACCAACAGTCAGCTCCGTCAGGCTACTCAACGGACGTGTACATTTAATGTTGTTATGAAATGAGAACAGAATCTCTAAGGTTTCATTTAGGGAGGAAACAACCAACAACCACAAAGTGTTGTGTTACAGAGGAAAAAAGGAAGCTCGTCGTGATTGGTTAAAAAGTAACCAAAAGAATACATATTTTTGGAAAGTCTAATATTTTCACTGATCACTTAATATGCATGAGAGCATTTTGATATTCCAGTCAAATATGTACTTTTATTATCTCACCTAACACATTCTCCTTAACATCCTTGTTGGAGTCTACGATGTATCTCCGCAGAGTGGTGGTGCTGCAGGTTTTAGGCTCGTTCATGGCTGTGATGGCGGCTGTGATGGCCTCTTCCAAGTTGCTGCCCTTCAGCCGGACCTGGTTGCCAGTGCGCTTCAACTGTTGGAAGTCACAAACATTTCATTCAGATTACAGTGGCACATGCAGGTGACAGAAATCATTATTTTTGAATTTGTTTTTGGAGTTTTTTTTTGAGGAATACATTTATAAAAACAAGCCATCTGGGTTTTTGTCTGGAGAAAAGACTGGGGAGCAGGAGTAAATATGTTCTGATCCAATGATTTTAGCCTACTTTTGAGCACAGGGGCCACTGTTTATATGTATATATACATATTTTTTTGCACAATTTCACAAATATAAATAAATGAAGAATTTTACCTGGAAGGTTCCAGAGGCTCCTTTCCCAGTGATCTGCTCCAGCTGTCCTCGTTCTACTGCCTTCAGCAGAGCCGTTTTCAGGACGTCTGGCCTGAGGTTGAACCACTTCATCAATCAGTAACATATCCACATCCTTACATCTACTATAGGGTAAGTCTTCATCTATTGGACAAACCCAAGGCTATGCTTTCATTCTGCCTGTACCTGTTTTCGATGTTAAAGCTGGGAAAGTGCTTCTCCAGGTACTTCTTAATCAGGAGGTAGGAAGCCTCCTTGGGCTCACAGAGCCGAGTGATGAT